TGTATGGGAGGGGAATAAAAACTTACATAACTATGTATTGGCTGGTGTCAACTAAAAGCAATAGAGCTCAATGAAAAAAGGGGTTGGTTTGTGTAACTCGGGTGCAGGAGGCAGAAACTCATACCCCATCCTGCTCTCTCTAATGGCAATTTCTGGAAAAGGGTCCCTACTCAGCATCCTTAGGAAATCAAGACCTTTAAGTGATTTTCTCGAAAAACGGGTACCTTAGTAAGCTGTACTGAGGGGTCTGTGATCTCAGTCACTATCTTCCTTCTCCTAGTGAACAAGGATTCACTGGATATTGTTTTGCTTGCATAAATTGGCACAGTTGCATGCAGTTGTTTAAAAAAAAATTCCAGTAAAACACTGTTGTCCGAAAATAAAATTCCCACTTGTGTACAGTAACAAGGACTTTCATTTTCTTCTCTTTTTAATATAAATTCTTTGCATTTTACTATTCAAGGGTCTGATACAGTGAGTTTTGGTACCCTTTAGCCTATTACTCAAATGTAACCTCATGCAGAATTTCCACTGGAATCACTGAAGAGCTGGCTTTTCAAGAAGGACATGATGGTTAGAAAATTGCTTACCTTTATTGCCCAAATTTACACCAAAACTGTTTCAGTATTACTCCCAAAGAAGTAAGTTTAACTAAATAGGTATTGTTCTTTTGCCTCATGTTACTGACTCCATCATAGAAAAATCATTCAGGGTCTCCAGCAGGGTGAACAGATCAGCTTTTGTGAACAGCCAAGTCCTGTTCTCCAGTGTGAGTCCCTGCCTGTCTTCCAAGGGAGAGGAGCATACAACCAGTGCCACAGAAGCACTGCCCAGACCACCACAGCACGTGGGGATACTTGGCTGGTAAAGGCAACAGGTGAAAAGTCAGCTCTCTGTGCTTTGCCTGTAGATGAAAAGGGAGCTTTAGCAAGGAAAACGCTGCTGTCAGGTATGAAGACACAAGTTATTGTTAAGTCAGCAAAATGAGGACTGTGTTTAACTGACTGGTTTGCAGAGCAGTGTGGTGCTGCTCTTGAGGAATGACAAATAGAAAGAGTAGTATTCCTCAGGGTAAAGAAAACAGGGACGGGTGCAAAATGTGAGTTATCACTGAAATGTTGGTGTAACTAACTTAGCTGAGTAGACTACTAAGTAAATGGAACAAATGCTAGGCTAAAAGCTCCTACTGAAGGCATGAAAAGAGCAAGAGTTGTGGAATAAGAGTTAATAGTGTTAAGTACCGCCAAACATAAGTGTTTGATTTAAGCCAGCTGGGATAGCAAGTGATGTATGTTAGCTGTACAAGGAGGAAGGTACCAAGGCACCAACGTCCATCTGGAGTTTGTTGCTTAGCCTTTCTCAGCAGGTTGGGCTGTTCGTTCAGGTGCTGGGTCTTATACGTGCACCTGTCTCTCATCCAGCCTCACATTCCAGTTTTGGGAACTAGGCAAGCAACAGGCATCATGTCTCTAATTGCAAAAGTGAACTAATCATTGTGGGAGCATGTGGGAGGGGAAAGAAGGATGGACCCCTTACTCGTGTTCATGTATGAATGTCATAGAATCATAGAATCACAGAATCATAGAATCGTCAAGGTTGGAAAAGACCCTTAAGATCATCAAGTCCAACCGTCAACCTGTCACTGCCAAGTCCATATATACCATGTCTTCAAGCACCGTATCTATCCATTCATAAAATCTCTCCAGGGGTGGCGACTACACCACT